TTCCGCCATTGCTCAGAGCTAACATTGCCAAGAAAACAAACAATGAGTAAACAAAATAAATCAATAAATTACACAAGATTGCAAATTATTGTGTAGCCAATCACTATTCTTGTCTGGAATCTGGGTCCCTGTGGACCTGCTTTCCGGGCGCCATCTCCTGGAGGGGTTGGCTGGTTTCCATCATCCTGTTGTGTTTCCCTGCTTTGTGGGATACACACCCCATTGCTGCATTGAATTCATTGCATTCCACTTCCGGAAGCTTTGCTAACAGGTGTTTGGAAGGGCTTTGGCACGAATGCCAGGACCAAAATGCTTTCCATCAAAGAGATTGTTGAGGCAGGAGCTCCAGCAGTAAGATCTGCATGGTGTGATAAAGTGAGAGCCCTTGCTGGTGCTTGTGGTTTTTGTGATGCATGTGCAAATTGCCACTAGTCAGGATGCCTTTGCTTCAGTGGGCCTATTGGGTACAGTCAACATGTGCCCGAGGGCAGGGAGAACTTTTTTATATCTCTTTGCATGAGCCGTTTCCCACCATAAATCTATTTGGCCAACAGATAGTACAGGTTTTCTTTAATGATTATTTATATTTGAGAGAAAGAGAGACAATGTGATCAGGGGAGGGGCAGAGAGAGAGGGAGACACAGAATCGGAAACAGGCTCCCGGCTCTGAGCTGTCAGCACGGAGCCCGACGCAGGGCTCGAACCCACGAGCTGTGAGATCATGACCTGAGCTGAAGTCAGACACTTAACTGAGCCACCCAGGTGCCACACAGATAGTACGTTTGGGGCAGAAGTTAAGATAATGGTGTTTCTCTTAACATTTGCGGGGACAAGAAAAATTTAACAACATTGACTGTCATAGGCTTGAAATACTTTCACTAGTTTCAGTCCTCTGGTCTCCCCGATGACACTTAAAAAAACAAACAAACAACGGATAGCAGTCATTAATCGTTGTGGTGTTTCCTAGCAGTTGTAACATCTCTAGTAGTAAGTAAGCAGAGTCCAGAAAATGTTTCCCATTTCTGAATCTACAAATAGCTAACAAATTGGAACCCATAAAAATAATAACAAAAAGAGAGATAACTCTGTCACTGAAAATCACTTTTTCAGTCTGTCTCTGATATTATCTGGAGCTCACACCTAGTCTGAGCAAATGGAGTCCTGTTTTCCAGTGTATGTTTATGTTGTTCTGTTATTACGGTCAGTAAATATGTATTGGAGATATTTTGGTAAGAGCAGAAAATGTGGAACAGATTCCAGACATAAAAGGAGGATTGGGCATTCTTGATTTTCAAAGCCAGTTCTGGAGGCAGAAAGGAAGGAAGACAGGTAGCAGACAGTCTTTCTGTGTTTCTGAAATAGTCTTAAGGTCTGTAAAATCTAAGTGTTAATGTTTAGCTAGAGAAATGGGAATTCATTGCTAATGGACTCAAGAGAAGAATGGGAGCGTGTTAATTTCTGCCCTCTTCCAAGTAGTTCATTTAGAATTGTTTTAATATCTTATTTATTTATCTGTAGTCAAAGTGTCTGTTTCCTTGACACTTCGCCTTTACCAACATTTTTAATTTAAATCTTTTGGTGATTTGTGTTGGCCATCATTCTCCCCTCCCCCCCCCCCTTTTTCGTGTATGTGACAGATCAGGTAAATTGCTGACCAGTGGAAACTGGGGTATTTGCTCCTTTGAGATCCGCAAAACATCCGAGCTGGGGACAGACATTGCCCTTGGCCTCCACCTGCTGGTGGCTGGAATCACAGCAGCCACACTATCAAGGTCTCAATCACATCCAGCCAATGACAGCTGTTTAAATTATTTAGCAAAGGCAAGGTGATAACATACTGCCAGGTATATCTTGCAGTCGTAAGATCTGGTATGATCAACCTGATAGCTCTTTAGAGCACTAGAGATAAATCAGGGACTCCTGATTAACATTCTTTTTGTATGGAGAGAGTTAAGTTATTTTTGACAGCACCATTAAGACTTCACAGAAATATATTCTCTTCTGGACATACATCAGTTCAGTTGAGAGTAAAATCCAATCCCTAGTGGTTTGTGCTTGGCACATACATGGATGGAAGGATTTGTGCATAATCATTGGGAGGGGTAGCCTGTTCAACAACACAATGGTTGCCTTTTGATCTGTGACTGTGTGTATGTGTGCATGTGTGTGTACCATCTGCATGATACACAATCCATCTGGTTTGATGCCGTTGAAGAGTAGGGAGATACTCACTCCATAGGTGTGAGTTTTCAAGCAGATGGAAAGCATAAGTGACTCAGAATTATGATAACACCACATGCTTTCTACATTTGAGTCTGAAAGTCCACTGTATGCACACTATATATCGTTTCCGATGTGGAAGAAACTTTGCCAGGAAGTCCTTAGGATCCTGGAGACAGTCCGTTGATTTCTTCAATGGCAAAGCTATGAATAATTGTTCATTGTTCTTGGAATGAAGATGCCCTGCAGATTTATGTGCTGATTATCACTCCCCTGACAACAGCAACAATACATGCACACAAAGACGTGTTCACTTAAAACAAGAAATGCAGTTCTCTTAAATTTTTGAACAAACTTTGTATTTAGGGGAATGTGCCGTCATTCACCAGAATCTGAATCCCCACTTCAATAATTGTTCACATATAAATTTGCTGTAAATGAATGTGTTACCATTCATATAAGCATTACTTTTCTGAACCCAGTACTTTAAAGATGGGGTAGGGAAAAAAAAAAAGAAGGAAATGGTACGTCATGGTTTGTGACTACATGTTGGATCACTGCACACTGTGTGGAGAGCCAAATTCCTATAAGGCAGGCAAGTAAATTTCTAAGAATATGAGTAATACTTGGCCATGTAACAAATAGGATAGCTGTTAGCACTGTTTTTCATCCCGAAAGCACAATATTATGTTATAGACAAATGCATTCTGTGGTGGGTTGGTTTTCTTTCATCTGTTACCTATAAATTTGAGTCAGAAGAAGGGTTCTTTGTTTTGTTTTGTTTTTTAATTTTTTTTTAACATTCATTTATTTTTGAGACGAGAGAGACAGAGGATGAACAGGGGAGGGTCAGAGAGAGGGAGACACAGAATCGGAAACAGGCTCCAGGCTCTGAGCTGTCAGCACAGAGCCCAACGCGGGGCTAGAACTCACAGCCCTCATGGACCGCGAGATCATGACCTGAGCTGAAGTCGGCCGCTTAACCGACTGAGCCACCCAGGCGCCCCTTGTTTTGTTTTTTAATGTGCTGCCCTGGGGGCGCCTGGGTGGCTCAATCAGCTGAGCATCCGACTTCAGGTCAGGTCATGATCTCACAGTCTGTGGGTTCAAGCCCTGCATGGGACTCTGTGCTGACAGCTCGGAGCCTGGAGCCTGCTTTGGATTCTGTGTCTCCCTCTCCCTCTGCCCCTCCCCTGCTTGCGCTCTCTCTTTCAAAAATGAATAAAATTAAAAAAAATTTTAAACTGTGCTGCTCTGATATTAAGTCTGTGGCTCACATTCTCCATCTTCACTTCTGATGCCTGCTTCTCACTGTCCATTTCCTGTTCTGGGTGTGGCAGTCAATATCAGCAACACTAGAACTTTCCTAACCTAACGGGACAAGCTGGCTGGAATTTATTCAGTAGAGAAGAGGAACAGCTAATGCTAATCACAGCAGATCACTTTTTTGAAATATGTGTCTTGGGTGTATTATAGAAGATCAATTGAATATTCTTCTTCCTCAGTCTTTTCTGATTTGGACTTTGCAAATCAGGCCTGCCAAACTGATGTTAGAGTCTTAGATGTGTGCTCTATAACCAATCTGTTCAAAAATAAAACTTCTGATTGCATTTTATTTAATTTTTGCAAGTTTTAAATGCTACTTAAAGCTCTTCTTTGACTATGTCCAACCTTAGAAATAAATTTTTTTTAATGTTTATTTATTTTTGAGGGAGAGAGTGTGAGCAGGGAAGGAGCAGAGAGAGAGGGAGACACAGAATCCAAAGCAGGTTCCAGTCTAAACTGTCAGAACAGAGCCCTATGCGGGGCTTGAACTCATGAACCATGAGATCGTGACCTGAGCTGAAGTCAGAAGCTTAACTGAGCCACCCAGCCCTCCCAAAAGAAATTTTTTTAACTTCTTTTCTAGTTGACTTCTCATATTAAAGGACCCCAAATTTGATTTGATTTTTGATTACAATGCATATTTTATAACAAAATTTTTTTCCCCTTCATTCCCAGGAAGTCCCATTGAGAAAACTCCCCAATATATTTTTTTCACGATTGCGAGTTAGCTTCTGGGACCTTCCCCACGAAGATTTTAGAGTTTATACTCAAATGCAGTTTTTCTAAATTCTGACTTTGCATGGTGAGGATGCTTTTCTTAATGTAGCTTTCTTCCCTGATCCGGGTTTTGGGGTCGGTCCCCGTCCATTTTGTGACTCAGATATCTTCTAGGGCTTTGCCACCATCCATTTTCAGGCGACAAAAATAGAAATACCTTGGGAAGGGGACCACCCACCCTTAAAAGCCATGTCTCAGGAATGACATACATCACGTTCGTTCAAATTCCATTTGCCGTGAAGTGCAAGGGAAGCTGGGGAATGTGGCACCGTTGGGGGCTCAGGAAGAAGGGTCGTCATTTTCTGTTTTTTTTAAATGAAGTGTAGATGACACAGCAGGTTACGTTAGTTTCATGTGTACAGCGTAGTGATTTGACAAGTCTGTGCGTTCTGCTCTGCTCACCATACGTGTACCCACCATCGGCACCCAACAGTGCCATTACACTCCCATTGGCCGTTGTTCCCTGTGCCGTGCCTTTTGTTCCCATGGAAGAGAGGTCAGCTCTGATGGACGGAGGGCGGGCCCCACCATGCCTGAATCCTGGGCTTCGGTCCGTCACAGGGAACTTCGACATCCGATGAGCCTCAGGAGAGGGGATGGAAGTGGAAGGGCCGAGTCTGACTCTTGTTGAGTCCCATGGAGGTACAGACACAACCTGTCCGGTTCCCGGTTTGCAGGTCGTGCCTGGGACGGATGCTGATGTGACTGTTGCAACCTTGGTTTCGGCTGCTGAGGAGGCCCCGGTGGAGGAGGCAGAGATGGAGAAGGCAGCTCTTCCCACTGGGGAAGGAGCAGGTGTAGAGGAGGCCCGGACCGACGCGGATACCGCACAGGCCGTGGATGGTGACAGATCTCAACCCGAAGAGTCCGAAGTAGCAGCACCTCAGGTGAGTGTCCCAGTGAAATGGAGGCTCCGGGCAGGTGGTGCCAGTTGAAATACTGTTTCCTGGGGAGTGCTGATCTCCCCTTTGGGTGCAGAATAGGTCTGTGGCCATTGTGTGGTGCCCCGCGTCACAAAATAGAATTGTATCTATGTTAATATATGATATATATCATCATATAACTTCATATATGTTTAAAATTTTAAATTCATTTTATATATGTTATTTATATTTTTGTTGTTATCTATATATTTATATGTGTATATATATAATCTTCTCAGAAAGAATGGTCCTGGCATTCTCTCGATGTCAGCATTGTGAGATTCACGCAGGCCCCCCTGGTGACGGAGAAAAAGAAGGAAGCATAGACCATGAAAAAGTGAGGTGGAGGGAGGAGGGAGAGAATGTGACAGAATAGTGGGGCTGTGGCAGGGATTACGTGAGAAAATGGCTCTACAGTGAGCGCTTTAGCCCGGTGGCAGGCACCCAGTGAGAACCCAACATTAGTAGTTAAATCATATCATTCTTAGTAATGTGTAGGGATTATTTAAATTCACCATTAGGCTCCTTTCACCAACCCCCGCCCCTCATTTGCACATTCAAAAGGACAAAAGACAGCAGGTCATTAAATACATACATGAACTTGCCTGATTGGCCTCAGGTCTTGGCTTCTTCAGAGAAGTGTTCAAAGTCAACAAATCCATATTTCACGATGGCGGCGGGGCGGGGGGGGGGGGGAAGGTCTTCTAAACCCCACATTTGGTTCTTCTAGATTCCAGAAGGTAACAGTGAAAAGGGCTCTCAGTGTTCTGCTTTCCTTTGTCCTGATGAGTTTACTCAGGAGAAATCTGTCCCAAATCTTCTCCAGGGTTACTCAAAGCTTGAAACCAAGTGATCCCTTTGATCCCGCTAGAAAAACAGCGGGGAGTACTGGTATCTGGAGAAATGCCTCAAAATACGTTCCATTTGTTCACCAGGTTTTCTTGTCACAGTGCCAGAAAGTGTGTTTGTATTCCATGGTTACACTTGTTGAAAGAGTGTATTCTTTTCTCCAAATAATAACTGGGCTATTTCTCCCAAAATAACGGGAGCGCCCACTGATATCGGAGGGAATGTAGAACTTGACTGGAAAGGCAGTAAACATCTCCAAGACTTCCATTATGCTAGTCAAATTCCTCTTCTTGCTCATCTTTGTTGCAAAATACAAGGGGGGGTCTTGATCCTCTGGTGCTTTACCCCTGGAGAGTAGAGTCCTCGGAGTGGTGGGGGGGGGGAATTAGCGCCCTCCAACTATAACTGCAGTGTGGGCTCTGACGATAATCAACTAGCAAAGCAGAGGCAGATTTTCTCCAAACTGCAATATGGCTGCAGGCTGTTCAGGAGTCCCGTGGGACCCTGGGAGAAAAGCGATCACAGGAGGTTATATGTCCCCTCCAAACAGTGTTAGGGGGCACCGGGGTGGCTCATTAGCTTCAGCATCTGGCTCTTGGTTTCAGTTCAGGTCATGATCTCACAGTTTGTGGGTTCGAGCGCCACGTTGACGGTACAGAACCCTGCTTGGAATTCTCCCTCTCCCCCTCTCTCTCTGCCCCTCCTCCGTCTCTCAAAATAAATAAATACACATTAAAAAAAAAAAAAACAGTGTTAGTATTCAGTGGGAGAGGAGTGGACCATGCCAAAAATGAGGCCATTCCTGGAACCCTACTACATTCTCTTTCAGGATTGTCTCCCCGCCCTGACATGACTCCCCTTCCCTCCCTGCAGTCTCCTACCCCCTTCCCAATTTCCACAGAAACCCCACTTCTCAGCAAACTGCCTGACTGCTCAGGGGTCCAGAAATTAATCCTGCCAAGGGTTTCTGTCTCAGGAGAGATAGAAAGGAGGCCATGTCAGGAGGAAGGTCCTGCAAGGTTTGGGCCAGTTTTGGGGAACAGCGGGCACTTTGTTGAATAGAGGATGTGGGGAAAGTGGGAGCCATGGAGGGTATGCCAGGGATGGAAGCAGTGCACAAGTCTTTTCTTTGCTCCCAGCCTCTGCTCGGCACCATCACATTTTTCTTCCCGCAGGAGAAGGTCATCCCTTCAGTCGTCATAGAGCCCGCCTCCAACAATGAAGGGGAAGAACACGAAGTAGCTGAGGTGGCAGAGACCAAGGAGACCCCCATGGCCGCGGCTTCTGCCAGCGAGCCGCCAGAGCTGGCCGCAGAGCCCAGGGCGGGTGAGGACTCCCAGCCCATGCCTTCCGCTCCAGCCGCAAGCCAGTTGTCTCAGGAAGTGCCTCCCGGCTTCCTCTACAAGGTCTGGTGGCCAGTTGTCCTTCCTCTGCTTTGAGGCCCTTTTGCTGGAAACTTTGATTTTCGGCTGTTTACTTTTGCCTTTTGCAATATGTATTCTTTTTCTGCACTGGAGGGAAGAAAGGTTCAAATCAATGGGATGAAGGTTATGTTCAGAGACACCATCAAATAGCTACTTAGAGGGGCACCTGGGTGGCTCAGTCGGTTAAGTGTCCAACTTCGGCTCAGGTCACGATCTCGCAGTTTGTGAGTTCCAGCCCCATATCAGGCTCTGTGCTGACAGCTCAGAGCCTGGAGCCTGCTTCCGGTTCTGTGTCTCCCTCTCTCTCTGCCCCTTCCCCACTGACACTCTGTCTCTCCATCTCTTAAAAACTAAATAAGCTTTAAAAATTTTTTGAAAAAAAAAAAAAAAAAAAGGCTACTTAGAGCTTTCATAAAGGGAAGGGGCCTTACCCAAAACCTGTTTTCGGTAAATACCTGAAAACACTGGCTTAAGCTAAGTGTCAAAGGCAGTTAATCCTCCTTAATAGAATATAGGTGGGAATTTTCAGTTCCATAATATGAATTTACGTTTCAAAACTCAGCTCTTTTTCTTTCACAAATGTTAAATTTAAGTGTGTTTGTGAGGGCGGGAGTGGAGAGGAATAGTCATCTTTTTTCTTTTTTTAAATGTTTATTCTTGAGAGAGTGTGTGCATGCAAGCAGGGGAGGGGCAGAGAGAGAGGGAGACAGAGGATCCAAAGTGGGTTCTGTCCTAACAGCACAGATGCGGGGCTCGAAACCATGAGCCGTGAGATCATGACCTGAGCCAAAGTTGGACACTTAACCAACTGAGCCACCCAGGTGCCCCTAGTCATCTTTTTTTTTCTCTCTCTGCTCATTAGAGACCTGTCCCCTTGCTACCTCAGATGGTGGCGGGCGGGTGGAGTGGATTTATGAATGAATCATGCAGAGGAACAATTAAACGTGTGGTTAGTGAGGGCGGGTGTCCGCTGTGTGGTAAGCAGAGCACAGGAAGTCAAGGAGGGGGATTCCCTGCAAAACCAGCCTCCCTGGGGCCACCCCCACTCCCCTCACTAACTGCAGCGGCCCGAGGAACATCACTCCTCTCTCTGCACTTCTCTTTCTCAGCAGCAAAGTGACTTTGAGAATAAGATCCTCATTTCCAGCTCTGACATTTTATCATTCTGTATGCAGAGTACAGCCAATCCCTTAACCTCAGGGGGGTAGGGCTAAGGGGAGGGACATGGGAGAAATACACCCGTCCATGACTGAATAGTTGTTCAAGCTGGTGAGGAGTATGTGGATCATTATACTCTTCTTTCTACTTTGGTTTTTAAAAATTTTTTTATAATCAAATTTTGAATAAATCTTTCCAAAAAAGGGGAAAGAGAGGGGGTAGGGAGAGAGGACGGGTGTTGTTTAAGGGTATAAACTTCCAATGAGTAGAAGCTAAGCCCTAGAGATCTAATGCACAACATGGTGAATACAGACAACAATATTGTATTATAATCATCAAACTAGCTCAGAGACTAGATCTTAATTATTCCAACCAGTAGAAAGAAATGGTAATTACACAACATGATAGAGGTGCTACAGTGGCATCATATCAGGGTATATAAATGTGTCAAATTAGCATGTTGTACACCTTGAATTTGCATAATATTACCTGTCAAATATATTTCAACATTTATTTATTTATTTATGATTATATTTCAGTTTTTAAATTTTACTTTTTTACTTAAGTAATCTTTACACCCACTTTGGGGCTCAAACTCATGACCCCAAGCTCAAGAGTCACGTGGTCTTCCGACTGAGCCAGTCAGGCACCCCAAATAGGTTTCAGTTTGGGTTTAACGTTTTTATTTATTTTTGAGAGACAGAGAGTGAGCGGGGGAGGGGCAGAGAGAGAGGGAGACACAGAATCCGAAGCAGGTTCCAGGCTCTGGGCTGTCAGCACAGAGCCCATCGCGGGGCTCAAACCCACAAACTATGAGGTCATGATCTGAGCTGAAGCCAGACACTTAACCAGCTGAGCCACCCAGGTGCCCCTATGTTTCAGTTAAAAAAAAAAATGAAAGAAAAGAAACAGATTGGCATGGTTTGAAAGGTAAGCTAGGGAAGGAAGTTTATACAGGAACTGATCCCTGCGTTTAATTAAATAGTACTTCCCATATAACATGGGAAGTGATGATTTTTCCAATCCTTAATTACATGACAGAAGTGAGGTTAGAGGCACTTCCAACTAGGCATTTTTAGTTCAAGTTTAAAAATGAACAATAATAAAGCATTAGTGATAAAATGTAAATCTCTAATAAAAATATGATGAATTGAAATTTAACAAAAGCACTATGTTTCAACTCTTGCAGAAGGTATTGTGTTACTAAATGTACATCCAAACTGCCTCAGTGTCAGTCTTCAAGAATTGGATGTTGTAAGTAAACAGGACTTCTTTCTCTGTTCAGAGGTCTTTTCCCTTGAGGTATGTTAGAATCACTGTCTTTTTTATCCGGGTTGGAGAGGCTTCTACAAGTACCTGCTGCTCATCTAGCTGAGAGACTTCAATGTTACGCTTCCTTTCTTTTTAAAATTAGTAAATTCAGGGCACCTGGGTGACTCAGTCGGTTAAGCGTCTGACTTTGGCTCAGGTCATGATCTCACGGTCTGTGGGTTCAAGCCCCTCATTGGGCTCTGTGCTGACAGCTCGGAGCCTGGAGCCTGCTTGGGATTCTGTGTCTCCCTCTCTCTCTGCCCCTGCCCCTCTGGGGCTCTGTCTCTCTCTCTCTCTCTCTCTCTCTCTCTCAAAATTAAATAAATGTTAAAAAAATAAAATTAGTAAATTCTTCTAAAATCTTTTGCAGGTGGAAACACTGCACGATTTTGAGGCAGCAAATTCTGATGAACTTACCTTACAAAGGGGTGACGTGGTATTGGTGGTCCCCTCAGATTCAGAAGCTGACCAGGTAAAGAGTGAAATTGAAAGGTCCTACGGGCTATGTTGGTTTTTTTCTGAGGGTCTCTTGGACGCAGTGACTTCCTGAAGACATTTCTATTTCCTGAGGTGCTACAGGGTGCTTAGGGCTTATGAGTACAGGACATGGCTAACGGAAGCTTTTTAGGACACCTCTTTTGTTGATGCTGTTATATTGTTTCTTTTTGATACAAATAGAGGACCATTTCTTATTTTGCATCCGCTTTCTAGGGACGTTGTCTCTGAAAAACCAGTGTTTAGGAAATGTGGCCCCTATCCACGTGCACTAAAAATATCCCTCAAAAGTAGTTGCCTCTGGGGATGGGGAGATTGGCCAGGAGAGAACATGGGGGAGCTTTCTAGGGATGGAAATGTTTTCTGTCTGAATAGGGGTGTGGATTACACGTGTGTATGCATTTGTCAAAACTAAACTGTACATTTAAACGATGTTTGCATTACCTAGTATTTATACCTCAATTTTAAAAGACTCTTAAAAAAATCACCTTTGAGCATAGTGTTCTGATGTGAAGGTGCCAAGAATTCCATTTGGTTCTTATTCACAGGATTTGTGAACCCCTAAATAGCATGCAAAATGTATACATGTGCCTATTGAACATGTTTTTCTGGAGAGAAGAGCTATAATTTCCATCATCTTCTCAAGGAGGTTTCTGAGCCTTTTACCCCCCAAAATAAAGTTGCTACTTTAGAGGTCAAGGTTTCCCAAGCCCCACATTTTGTTCTTTCTCTTGATAATACACTTTCCAAGATAGAACAGGTGCTGGGTCAAAGTCTTGACCATAATAAGATTAAATTAGATATGAATAGTAACAATACAGCTTTAAAAGCTCTAAATATTAAATATATATATATATATATATATATATATATATATATATATACACACTTCTGAATAATCCTTGGACCACATAAGTCACAGTGTAAATTAGAAAAATATTTCCTAGTGACCATCAATTTCTAAATTTTCAGCCCAAGAGGATAAAAAAGATCAAATTAAGTACAAAGCACAGGGAAGGACAGAAATAATAAAAATAAATTCACAGATGAATGCAATAAAAAGACACACAATGGAGAAAACTAATAAATCCAAAAGTTAGTTGTTTGAAAGGATCAATAAAATAGTTAAAACCTCAGATACAATCTTCAAGGCAAAAAGTGGCAAAGCATTAATTACCATCAGGCAAAAGTGTCTACATATCTCAAAATCGTTAAAAAAAACCATTATATAAGCTAATTTTTTTTTGCATTAACCATAAGTTATCTTTTAAAAAGATTAAGAGTAAAAAGCTAATCTTACATCTACCAACATGTTCACCATTTTCTCTGCTCTTTCTGGTTCTTCTAATAGATGAGTTTCCATCCAGTCTCACTTCTTTTCTGCCTGAAAGTTTTCTTTTCTTTTTCTTCTTTTTTTAAATATTCTTTTTCAGTGCACTTTTTCTTTTTCTTTCTTTTAAAAAAAAAAAGATTTTATGTTTAATCTCTACATCCAACCTGGGGTTCAAACTCACAACCCCAAGTTCAAGAGTCACATGCTCCACAGACTGAGCTAGCCAGGTGCCCCTGCCTGAAAAATTTTCTTCACCAATTCCTACGAGGCTAATCTGTTGGCAATATATACTCTCAGTTTCTGTTTATCTGAAAATGTCTTTCTTTCGTCTTCATTTTTAAAGATATTTTCCCAAGAGGAAGAATTTTGAGTTGACTTTTTCTTTCAACTTTTTAAAGATACTGCTCCGTGTTCTCTGTTTTATTGCTGTTTATGACTAGAAATCAGCTGCCATTTGTTTAGCATTGTTTCTGGGTATATATATACTGTGACTTTTTCCCTAACTGCTTTTAAGAATTTCTCTGTATCTTTGGTTTTCATCAGTTCAATGTAATGTGCTTAGGGCTTGTTTGTTTTGTTGTTTTTATTTGTTTTGTAGTTTTCTTGCTTGGGATTCACTGAGCTGCTTAGATTTGTAGCCTGATGTTTTCCATTACATTTGGAAGACTTTCAGCTAATATTTCTTAAATTCTTCTCCTGCCTCATTCTCTTTCTCCTCTTTTTTGGAGTCCCTAATTATACATCTGTTGGACTTCTTGATGTCTAAGACTGTCCTTTTTTGTTCAATATGTAATTCTTTCTGGTACTCAGGTTGGATAATTTCTACTGATTTGTCTTCAAGTACAGTGACCTTTTCTTCTGCTACTTTGAATTTGTTGTTTAGCTTATCCAGTGACTTTTTCATTTCAGATGCCGTACTTAACACAGTTCTATAATGTTGGTGTTGGTTTTGTATTTAGTTGCCATTTCCTTCCTGAGATTTCCCATCTATTCTTTCATTATTGCTATCTTTCAGTGTAAGCACGTGCCCATATTTTATAATAGCTGTGTTAACTTCTTACTGCTAATTCCAAAAGCTAGACCATCTCAGCACACACTTCTATCGATTGCCTTTTATCTTCAGGGGATATTTTCCTTTTTTTCCTCATATCTAGTAATTTTTTAAAGTTTCTTTTTAACATTTATTTATTTTTGAGACAGAGAGACAGAGAGAGAGAGAGATTATGAACAGGGGAGGGGCAGAGAGAAAGGGAGACACAGAATCTGAAGCAGGCTCCAGGCTCTGAGCTGTCAGCACAGAGACTGACATGAGGCTCAAACTCGAGAACCACAAGATCATAACGTGAGCCAAAGTCAGATACTTAACCAACTGAGCCACCCGGGCGCCCCTCCAGCAATTTTTTTCTTTTTATTGATACTGGACACATTGTAGAGTCTGGATTCTGTTTTCTGTCTCTGAAGCTTGTTTCTTTTTCCTCTAGCAGACATGGAGGTAACTGGATAATTAGCTTGAATTCATGGAAGTTTGTCTTATGCTTTGTTAGGGTGGGTCTGTTTCAATTTTGCCTTTCTTTGAGGATGAACTCTTAGTCCTAAGACATCTTTTACTTCTGAGAATGGCCCTTCTGAAATTTGAGTAGAAAACCTGAAGGATTCACCAGGCTTCCTAACTTGGTGGGATTTAAACTCTAAACTCTGTCTCCCCTCCATGGGCAGTGCTGAAACTTGTCTTCAGTTTTTCTGCCTCCCTGTGTTGCTTTCTCCTTGGGGGATCCCTTGTATATTCACAACCTGTGGGGGCCGCTCAGGATTTCAGGGGAATTTCTCTGCATGCTTGGGAACCCGCCTCTGTTGATCTCTTCTTTTCAAGATATTCCCCATAGAAATATAGTTCCTCTGGAAGCCCTCCACTCTTCCTTTGAATGCTCTGTGTCACACAGGCTGAGGCTAATCCTCAGGCGCGGGGGTGGGGTGCTGTATTGGCAGAGATCTCACCCAGTGCAATTTCCTACTTTCAAGGGTTAAATATTCTCCATTTTTGGCCTGCTTTTTTGGTCGGTGCCAGTGCCTTCAAATAGTTGTTATATATGTCAACCCCATGATTTGTAATAATCCTATCATATAAACTTTTATATTACATATTTTATTATTTCTGTACATAAGTAGTTGCAAATATGTATACATATACATATGTAGATTTGTATAATATATAGTTATTCTAGTGGTTATAATTGTTCTGTGCAGAAGCACCTGTCTGACACAAGCTATTTGGCCATTACCAAAACTGTAAGTCTCGTCCACCACACATTTTAAGCAGTTAAAATTTAATTTTCCCGATTTGCCTCAGCTCAAGATTGATATTGGGTAATATTTTTCACTTCACTATATAAATTGTGTTTCAGAGTATACGTATTGGCATACATCTTGATGATGAGTTTGTACCAGTCCATAACTTTTGTTCTTTATTGAAACAATTTTAAAATGCATGACTCTACTTGGCTCCATTAGATTTTTTCATTCATTGTAAATAAAGTCAAATATAGACACTTGTGGGGGGAAATATGGCCTTTTAGATGCTTACTGGAGGTTTAGAAAAAATTTAGTTATCATCTTTTACTTTAAGTATAACTTTGCCCTTCACATATATAACATCATAATTTTCAAGAGGACATTTCCCTTCCTAGCTAGGATATTATCAGGTATTTTATTGAGTCATCTTTTCCTCGGGTTTTTTCTTTCCCCACCTTCGAAAATTGGCCTGTCTAAATGCTTATATTGCTTGTCTATATAGCAGCATCAATTTATAGCCTCAGATTACACCAAGAGGGAATGTATTCAGGCTCTTTATTTAATTTTTGAGACCTCATTTTATCTGATGTACTTGAACTATATTGAGAGTTGCTTCTGATTGAATCTCCCCATCCTTCATCCTAAGTGGGATCTCTTTCGTGCATTGGTTAACATAATCAAGACAAGTCATTGCCCGCTAGTTTTGCACTATAAGGTCTGTAGGTTTCATGCTGCTCCTTTCACTCAGCGTTTTCCAACCGGGATCTGCTGATCTGCCATAGGCCAAGGACAAACAGCAGCCTTCGTCCTCAGTATCACCTGTCGTCTCCCGAGCCGAATGGCCACACACAGTGGCTCCCTTTACTTTCCTGTGGCTAACTGTCTTCCTGTTCATGGTGGTACTCCTACAAGACAGATGTTTGTGAGAAATACTTTATAAAGAACACAGGAATGTTTCCAACAAGCATGTCATGACAACAACCTGCTTTGTGGTTCATATAAACTCGAAAAATGAGATACTGTCACAGCAACAACACACACAATGGCAATATCAGGTTAACACCTATCTAGCGGTTATTTGATAAGCCTTATGTGTGGTGGTTTATTTGGGTCCCATGATGTGAGCTGGGGCACAGAGTTCTTCCTTCCAGGCAGGTTCAGGATGAGACACTAGGCCTTCCATGGCTTTGCCAGCACTATATCCTGACCTGGGTCCTTAAGTCATTTCTTCTCTGTGACCCACAGGATAGAGAATGTTCCTGTGCACGACATGTTTGTACATGGTGCTTTTCTTTCTGCACTGGCTATCATTCTTAATCCTTTCCTCTTCCTTAAGAACTCCTGTCGTAATCCAATTAACGTCAATTAACTGTATACAAAATTATAATATTTGTATCAACTTTCAGTTAGCTATACCAGATCCAGAAAATAAATAATTGTAAATGTTTATCATTATTATTATTTTTTAAGGCTATATATCTTGAGAGAGAGTGAGCGTGAGTGGGGGACGGTCAGAGAGAGGGGGAGAGAGAGAATCCAATGCAGGCTCTGAGCACTGTCAGTGTGGAGCCAGATGTGGGGCTAGATCTCATGAACTGTGAGATCATGACCTGAGCTGAAATCAAGAGTCCACCCCTTAACCGACTGAGCCACTCAGATGCCCCTTGTTGTTTTTTGTTTTTTTTTTTAACCTAATAACTTATTTGGGACGAGCTTTCCCACTGCTTTCAGACACTGGTTTATGTATAATGTAACATCCTGGTGCAGTATCACAACACTAAATTATTTTGGGGCTGCCTGGGTGGCTCAGTCTGTAAAGCATCCAACTCTTGATTGTAGCTCAGGTCATGATCTCACAGTTTGTGAGTTCAGGCCCCACATCGGGCTGTGCGCTGACAGCCTGTAGCCTGCTTGGGATTCTCTCTCTCTCTCTCTCTCTCTCTCTCTCTCTCTCTCTCTGTCTCTCTCTCAGCCCTTCCCCATTTACACTCTCTCTCTCTCAAAATAAATAAATAAAATAGACACGTAAGTTATTTTGTTAATTCTTGGCAGTGCAGATTTTTCCAGTAGTTTGTTAGACCTTGAAAGCCCTGTCTTTGTCTTGCAGGATGCAGGCTGGCTGGTGGGAGTGAAGGAATCAGACTGGCTTCAATATAGAGACCTCGCCACCTACAAAGGCCTCTTTCCAGAGAACTTCACCCGGCGCCTGGATTAGGGCCAAAAATATTGTAGAAAGAGCCTATCGGGTTTTTAAACCCGCGGGGAAAACCCAAAACGTTCACTTTTGCTATTACACTCTTAATGATTTACAGGCTGGTGCCAGACAAAGCTTGGAAAGATATATCAATGGAGCATGTGTGCAAGAAAAAAAAAAAAAGGATAAAAGAAAAAAAAAAACAAAAAAAACCCACAAAAAATGTGAGAGAAAAAAGTAAATTACAGATAAGGTCCTCACTGGTTCCCACGTTATCGATTAACAGGTTTATTTGTGCTTTGTCCAAGCTGTGGAGACTCTTGTACTTGATCCCCTCCCACCAGTGCTGCAGTAGCTTTCTCCAGACCAGAACCTTAATTTCTCTGCGCCAAGTGTATGGTATTGAGCGGCTGTCCTGCAGAAGATGTGATGAGTTATCCCGTAGTTCAAGATTATCTTGTTCCCTTGCACAGGTGTGAGCACGTGCTCGCTCTCTCCCAAGTTTCCGGTGTTTAAAAAACTGTTGGCACACGTTTTCAGTGTTCTTTCCCACCACCTCTCTCTCTGTATTTGTATAAGGACACACAGGTACACACGCTAGTTCCCATCTCTCCCCGATCTATGTGTATGCCCAGCGCAACGCTACATATACATAGTTGCCTTTTGCTTTCTTTCGTTCCATCCGAGCTCTTTGCCTCTCGAGTGTCATTGATACATGCATTGCCCTGGCTCTGTCTGGCATTTACAGTTGTAGTTTTGCCTCCGGGCAAAACCCGCCATCCCATTGCCAAAACAGTCGACAGTATCTGTGTTTTGTAATGTGCATTTTTTCAGGATGCCATGACAAATAGCATGTCAGAGCTGCTGTCCCTTTGGAGAAAGCCAAGCCTCATTGTCTAGGTGTCCGGCTGCGGTGGCTGGAGGTAAGCTAGCTGGGATGAGCAGCTAGGTAGTGTTAACTTTTGCCTTTCTAAGATTGGCTGCCTGATGGGGCATAAAAGTCCACCCCCAAAGAACACTATATATATATTAAAAAAAAAAAAAAAGCTCCTATATATTTCCAACTCTTTATATTTATGCGACTCATCTTCCCAGATTGTCCCGAAATAAGATAGGTGATGTATGCTGTATCCACAAATCATGTGTAACGACTATGTTTTCAGTGCTGTGTCATTCCAAATAAACCATTGGTAATCTCCAGCAATTATCCTACTTCCTCCGCAGAGTCCTTTGTTTGGGGAAGCTTGTTTCAGTCGGATGCACTGCTTGAAATAGTGTATTGTTGGAGTTGTTATTTGTGCGGAAATACGCTTGTTCCTCCGGGTTGTGCCCCATAGCCCGCCTCCCTTCCCCAGAGCCCTCCCTCCCAGTCATTGCTGGTCATTCGGTGTCCCTGCTGCCCAGCAATCACTACAGCACAAATAACAGCTTTGTGGACAGAGGCCCCTCGGAGGCACCGGCTGTGACCGGCTGTGTGTCACCGAAAATCTGACGACCTTCATCATCAGCAGTTCCCTTTCACGCCAGCCTCATCTTTCGGTCACCTTTCTTTCTGACATGTTCATGTTCATAGGGACGTACAAAGAGATCACGCGGACTAGAAAAGTCATTTCACCGGGCCATTGTTTATAGAAGAGCGTTCTTAAACAAACAAAAATCCTTCATTTGATTCACTCTTTTCTGCTGGCGTAATCCTGTAGGCAATGTTGGCTGGTCTGGAATAGGCATCGTCAGACTTCCGAATCTGGTGTGTTTTTCTGATGTGTGGTTTCAGTTCTCCTAGCGCATTCCCTTCACGTTTCTTACTAGGGAAATCGCTGTTACGGAGCCAGGATTTTCCCAGCGGCTGATTTGCAGGGAGGTTGGTTCAGCACGAGTGCTACATTAGTGCAAGAAAATAACAGTCCTTGCCCAGTGGCATAGCTGATAACTCCTCACATAAATGGCAGAGACTTAAGATGAGTCCTAGAGAGCCACTCCTGACACTGGAGTACGCAGGACCCGGAACTTTAAGAGGAGACTGGAACTTTATAGTTCTTATAATAAAATACACCTAGTGGTCTTGAAACATAATTGCTGCCTCTTCTGGCGCAGTTCCTCTGAGACCCCCCCTCGTGCTCGCCACCCCCACTCTTAGTGGCTCCGCAGGTGCACAGCCTGGGGGGGGGGGGGAGGACACAGCTTCTCAGACACACACCTGTGTTTCTTCCCACACCTGTAACATTCCTAGATGCATTTAACAAGTCCTTCCAAAATGACAGGTGCTTAATGAGCCCTTTCATCCTGGTTTAGAGCCTTGGAAGAAAATACCAACAGCAAATACAAGTGATTGGATTGTTCCAGAAATCTTCAAGGTCCTCCATTTTCCAAAGCACTGAAAAATGAACAGGATGGGGCGGGGGGGGCGGGCGGGTGGTCAAACAGGGGAAAGTGGTCTTCTCCAGAAACGCTTACAGATAGGGAGTGAATTTTCTTTTCCACTGAATGGATTTTCTACGGGACATGTGGTTCCTAGCACGGAGGTTCTTCCCACCTCTGTCAGTCTGACTGCGGTTCTGAGGCCACCAAAGCACCCTCAGAACACCCCCTCGCACTATGTTGGCGAATTTGCAGCAGTGTTTTACTCCAAATGGCCTTGACCCAGCAAGCCCTACCCACTGTTTGTGCCCACTGTTTGTGTTTTCACATTTCTCTTTCAAACCCGGTGGCACCTGGACCTTTGAATAGTTCCAGAGCCCTTCAGAGAATCACATAGAGCAAGCCTGTGGTCTTTATTAAACAGACACCGAACTGGCATTCCCACCAGTACCTCAAACAGACACTCATTTAAACCTGAGTGATGTTTCTAATTGCCAAGCGAGCCCTCTCCCAATTTGAATTTTTAATAGTGTGTCAGCGTAGCTGGGCCCTGGGACAGGGACAGCTCTGTGCGCCGTGCTGTCACATTGCCTCTGCCGTGGCCTGCCCCTCTTGCCACGGCTGGGACAGCTTCTGAGGGACCCCAAACACCACCAGTAGCTCGATCATGGCCTGGGCCCCTGGGAAAGCATGCGCTGGCCCCGAATGCCGAGCCATCTCTCATCATATGCCAAAGCCTATGATCAGGGAAAACTCCTAGCAAGACCCCACGGTCCATGGTAATGGCCCAGCAAAGAGTCTCTGGGAAACTGCAAAGCTTGTGGGAGATCAGGGAGTATAAAGAGAGCTGAAACTCTCTTGAGGCCACACGAGACAGGTGGCTGAACACCTCAAAGCCTTACCCACAGGCTGCTCTGCCTTGCTGGGACCCCACTGCTCCTTCCGGAAGAGCCCGAGCTGCCTTCCGGTGTTTACCTGGAACCCGGCTGACTGTCTTAACCAACACTATGTGCCAGACCTTGGACATGAGCATCATGCATTCATTCCCCTGCACAGTGGCACAGCCATGGTCTTCCTAGGACTCAGAGAAATGCAATCGGACATGGGGTGGCTGTGTAGAGAAGACGGTGACCGATACTCTCGCAGCAAACCTAGAGAAGAACAGCCACGGGGTTCTATTCATCCTTGACCCTGGCCTCAGTCAGACCTGCTTTCTCATTATCCTGCACGTGGAGCCACCTGGGAGGAGCCCTGGCTGCTGGAGGGCAGCACTGCCCAGGGCACACAGCAAGGGTGGATACATTGCTCACAGAAACCGAAAAAAGTGTGCTGGAATAAGCCTAATAGTCTGGCCACGAAGTTTGCAACTCCTTGGTTATCCTCTTTTTTTTTTTTTTTTAATTTTTTTTTCAACGTTTTTTATTTATTTTTGGGACAGAGAGAGGCAGAGCATGAACAGGGGAGGGGCAGAGAGAGAGGGAGACACAGAATCGGAAACAGGCTCCAGGCTCCGAGCCATCAGCCCAGAGCCTGACGCGGGGCTCAAACTCACGGACCTCGAGATCGTGACCTGGCTGAAGTCGGACGCTTAACCGACCGAGCCACCCAGGCGCCCCCATCCTCTTAACATCGTTTACGGGAGCATCGGCTGACTTGTTCAGCTTGAATGCTAACTGAGACACTACGCTTAAATCTGTGCAGAGAGGAAGGCCAGGTACCCTGAGGCTCTTTCAAAGGATATCTAAACCTTCTCTTAGTTTCCTAGAATCCAGCAGATTCCCTGTCCCCTGGGAGCTCAGGTCCGACACTCAGGGGGTCTCATGCTTGTAGGCCTGGTCAGAGTTGTGTGTTTACCTGGCCCAACATCCACTGCGTGGGGCTGCTCTTAGCCCTGGAGAACACATGTTGATAACACTGGAAAGCCCTGGGAAGCCGGTGCAGGGCCCGAGCTCCTTGTCCGTAAGACATTGCCACCTGGCGGATGCCCCTCTACCCTCCCGCCCCCTGGATAAATACCATTAAACCGTGTCCTGTGCTCTGCTCTGCAGAAACCTGCCAGGGACCACCCAGCAATTTCTGTGGCTTTTGATGATGCCACCACACCTCTCTAAACTCTAAGCCCAAGAAAGGAATTTTCTTGTTTTCTTGCCTGATTGTTCCTTTGTCACCTTCACTAATTTTTCTTCCTGCTGCAGTGGGTGCTGGAGAGGGGTGTCGGCTGGGGCGTCGGGCGGGGTACATTATCCTCAATGGGTGGGTGTGTGTCCCAGCTGTCCAGACAGTGTTTGCTTTGGAGCGTCTTATTGCTGCCAAGTCCGCATGTGCGTTCGTTCATTAAACATTTGTCAAGCTCTTGCCAGGTGTTGGTTACTGCACACGGGGAACCACATTACTGAGACTTTGCATCAGTGAACTTCTTTCAAAATTCCCCCTTATTGCAGCCCTGAGGGTTGCCCCTTTCTTCGGAACCGCCCCCTCCTGGGCTTCATGTTCCAGATGACAAACCCCTGAGTCCCGAGCTTGTACTGTCATCCCTGCTACCCAGTGTAGGAATGGTCCCCGTCCCTGCCAAGGAAGACCTTGATCCTTGTTGCCCCCCTCACCTCCCTGCTTCCCCTCTTCCCAGTTTGCGGGCAGGCCCTGGACTAGCTTCCTTACCCTGATGTCAGATGTACGGCTCGCTCTCCTCTTCCTCCTCCTACACACACACACACACACACACACACACACACACACGTGCATGTGCTAATGATGAATATCTGCGTTTCACATCTAATCCCCAGGTCTCTGCTTGGCTGTCAGTATCCTCCACATCTTCACCAATACGTGTCTTCTGCTCCCTCAGGGGAGGCTCAGCACTGAGCCACGTTGCCGTCCCGCTGCACCTCTACACTGCTCACCCTGGTGCAACGCCCCTTCCCTCTTGTCCCGCCTCCTCCACTAGTTCCTCCTCTGCCCTAAGCCCCACGGTTCTCTGATTGCATTCCGTGTAAAGTGATGTCAGTTACCCTTCCTTCTCTCCACGAACTGAGCCACTCTCTACCGACTTCCTCTGCATTCTGAGTCTGCAGGATGGATGTTGTGTACAGGTGCACCGAGCGAATAAACGAGAGACTGAGAGATCCATGAGTTCAGGGACGTGCAGAAAAGCTAATCCAGAGCATGGAGTTAAAATCTGAAGCTGAAGATCACAAGAAATGACGGAATTCTTTTGTGATACTGGAGAGGGGAAAGCTTTCGTACACAAAACTCCAAAGTACACAAAGTATGTGGCTGAAAGGAAGTTTGAGCACACTATAGAGAAATTTTATGTAATGAAAAGTACTTTAGATAAAGTTTAGACCCATGATAGAGTAGCTGAGGACATTTATATGAGCCAAAACTCACAAAGGAGAAATATCCAGAAGACATACGTTCATTCAAGTCAAGTGATTAATAACATTAGTTACTACGATCTTAAGTAATTTTAATAATTTATCATTTTCTTTATCTTTATTTGTATTTGTAGTATCAATAAATTACTGTTAATAGGAAGTATGATAATAACTAACAATCTTGATTTGCCAGACACTCTCCTAAGTGTTCCACGTGTATTAAATTATTTAATCCTCACCAACCTGTGAGGTGTGGGCTGATTTCCCTTTTCGCAGACGAGGAAGCTGAGATTCAGCGCATTGAGAACCGGGTCCGGTCACACGGCCAGGAAAAGTGGGCCCGGCCGTGGGCAGCCTGGCTCCTCTGGGTGCTGTAGCCTCTGCCGCCGGCCTCCTTTCTGCTGCGCCCAAAGGGCACGGACGGCCAAGTGTCCGAGGCACAGACTCAGTGGATGCCAGGTATGAAAAACCCTCAGCTTC